AACATAAGAGTTCACATTAAGGGTTAACGTGTTCTAGGGTAATGTCTTATTGCTGTCCGTGAGATCCTTATTCAAATAAAATTGCAGAGTCAAGTATGGGCATGTTTCACAATCTCATACACAGCTGAAAAATCGAGGTCCCCCAAACCCAAGCTTCTGGCCTTCTTGAATGCCTCATTTGCAGCAGCAGTCAAAGGCATTGAAACAGCATTTTCATCCCCAAGGGCCACAGCCAGCCTCATGTCTTTCCTTTTTCTTTCGTTTTCATTACATTTATCTTCATCACATTCATTTAACCCACTTTCAATTTTCATCATCTTGAGTCATCTTTAATCCCCTTCACGATCTCCCATGCTATCATTTTCATCTTATTCATTTAATTTTTCATCTTTCCCACTTCATCTTTCATATTTAGATTCGTCAGAAATGGATGGTCAACGAAAAACCAAATCGGAAATGAACAAATGTCGAAGTTAATGTCTGTATAATAAATGAAAATTGACTGGGTCTTTCAAAAAGTTGATAAACTTTATCTGTCTGAAGAAATAAAACTGAAAACCTATAATTGAAAGTCACTGAAAACAAAACGGGGATGAAAACTGCCGAAATTATTTTCTGTGTGATCTTAAATAATTGTCTTTGAAGTTAGGCTACCAACCAAATTATCGGTACACAAACATTGGTTTTTGTGCCTTTTTGCAAAGATGAAAGTGTGTGGTGCACATAAACTGATGTCTGTGCACAATCATTTTTTTGTATGTGGCACATGAGAAATTTCTGTAGATGTATATGTTTTTTCAATGGCACTTGAGAAATGTGTGTAGTTGTATATTTTTATCAGTGTGGAGCATTTTTTGTGAGAAGCTCTTTGGTCTGTTTCAAACATTTTTATGTCTGTCGCAGACAAAAAATTGTCTGTGCACAGACATTGGTTTTTGTGCACGGACAATTTTTTATCGGTGGCCTAACTTCACAGACATTTATTTAAGACGGTACACACAATAATTCCATATGTTTTTCATCTCTGATTTGTTTTCGGTGAATTTTAATTATAGTTATTCAATTTTATTGCTTCACAGATGATTTTTATATGTTATACCAAAAATAATTTCGACGGTTGTTCATTTCCGATTTGGTTTTTTGGCGAATCTAGAAAAGAAAAATGAAGTAGGGAAGATTAAAAGTAATGGAGATGAAAATGATAAAAATGGGAGAAGGTGAAGGGGATTAAAGATGACATACAATGATTAAAATGGAAGGCGGGATAAATGAATGTGATGAAAACAAAAGTGATGAAAATGACATAACAAAGGAAAGAAGAACAGGAGAGAATGGGGAGCAGGGAACCATATGAGTAGGGCTGTCCACGGGTCGGGTTCGGGCGGGTCGGGTTTGAAAACCCTAAACCCGTTCGGGGTTTTAAATTTAAATACTAGGCCCGACCCTTTGATATTTCAAATCGGGTATTTCGGATATTTTTAAGTCGCATATTATCGGATATCGGGTCGGGTTTCGGATATTTCGGTTATATTAAAAAATATATAATTGGATAATTAAAGTGTTTAAATGCCACTTTGACAAAAATTGTACACACTAGTGCACTAAACATCCAAATTACACAAAAAATTTAACACAAATTGCACAAATAATTACACAAATAATTGAACACAAGTATTAATCTAACATATTCAAAGTACACACTACATAATTTAATATATTTCGTATATTTCGGTTATATTAAAACACATTATAATTGGATAATTAAAGTGTTGGAATACCACATTGACAAAAATTGTACACACTAGTGCACCACTACACATTCAATTTACACAAATAACTTAATACAAATTGCACAAATAATTACACAAATAGTTGAACACAAGTATTAATTTAACATATTCAAAGTACACACTAACATATATTTCGGATATTCGGGCGGGTCGGGTTGGGATTTTACAAACCCTACCCACCACCCGTTCTAGGCCCAATATTAATCGGATTTTCGGTTTTGGGTTTTTCGGGTCGGATATCCACTTCGGTTCGGATAATATCCGAAAAAAATATCGGGTTTTTCGGGTCGGGTCGGGTTTTGCTCAGCCCTACATATGAGACATGGAAAGGGGAGAAGTGTTGTAATTCTTTTATGAGGTATATATAGTGTCTATACGGGTGTGTATAAGAGTGAATACAAATAGCATTTTTGATAAGACATAAGAGAGGACAAAGAAAGTTGCATAAAGGAAGGGAGGAGCAGGAATATACAAATCATAGTTGTATATGTGGATAGAGGTAAATGTGGAATTGAAACTCTTATGATAAGAATAATAAAAGGATGGTCCTATTTTTGTATTATTACTACTATGCTTTGCTTCTATGAGAGCAATTACTTTTTTTTTTTTGAAAGGAAATAACTTATATTATAGATACCAAAGCAATCAACATCACAACATCCAAACACAACCAAGCCTCCCAATGAGACTCCGCATAGCCAAACGGCCCTCTCACTCTCTGACTAGTCATAGAATAGCACACCCAATTACGAGCGAGACTAATCGCTAACCATGTGAGAGTTTCGAAACTTTTGCTAGCCACACTAGCCTTATCACTTGCACCCCTAAAATCATTATTCAAATTAAAATTGAAAGACCTCCTACCACTACTGTCTACAATAATAAAAAAAACACAGTACTGGAAGTAAATAAAATAAAAAAGACAATAGTAGACTGCCTCGAGCTCGCCCGCTCCCCTCCTCCTCTCTTGCTGGACTCGAACAAGATTTAGAGACGTGTTAGGCGAGCCACAGAGTCGTAGCTTGCCTCCTCTCTGTTTTTTGCATTGACCTGCTCCATTTTCGCCTCCTTGCCATAGAGATTGTCTTCTGCCTCTGCATTCCTCTTCCTAACTGCAGCTTCCGTTGGCATCCCATTTTTCTGGGCGTGCACTTTTACCTCACCATCAACCAAGCAGCCCCATCCCTTCGTCGACAACCTGCTTCTTCTCCCAAGCCCATCAGAACTCAGTTCTGTGCTCAGAGCCTGTCGTTGTCCTCCAAATAGCCTCTATCGAAATCGTCTTGTTTCCATCATCGACCGTGAATAGCCCTGACCTTGCAGTCCCTGAGAGCATAGCTCCCCGAACCTTACTATCCATGCTGGATCGCCCATAACTGGCACAGGAAGAGTCGCCGACATCCCCAAAGCTAATATGGCCAGTGCCAAACCCGGAAAATCAGCCATCATGTTACGAGACTCACAACCTCCGTCAACCCAAATCCAAGGCATCAACATCCTCAGGGAAATTGACATGGAATTCACTGGTTGTCCTTCCCAATCTCGCCCCAGACCTAACGAAAAGCCTCTTGGGACACGGCGGCGCCGATCCCCCAAACTTGCCCTAGCGTAAAGTCGCTAGGCCCGTCCACTTGTTAGAAACTTATTACTTGGACTGTAATTTGTCCTAGATCAGACCAGTCCAGACCAGACCAAACCAATTCAGACCAGACCAGACCTGGATAGTTATAAAAATACAAAGAAACTAGACCTTACCAAACCAGACCAGACCAGTTCAGACCAGACCAGATCAGTCCAGACCAGACCAGACCAGCAAATTACAGTCCAAGTAAAAACATCCTAAATGGGATATTTAATGAAATCCCCCCCCCAAAGGACAAAGTAGTTTAAACATCCTTAAATAGTATTTTTAGTGTTTAGACAAAAATGCCATAATAGGGTCGGAGTCGGGAAAAAAATCCAGAATGTCTTTGCCTTTTTTTCGAGTTTTATGTCGCCGTCGTACCGTCATAGCCACCAATCCCTGTAAGGAACTATAGCCGTTGTCCGATATCCATCTCAACGTTTAGTCATCCCTAGCCACACAAATTGGATGAAAACAACAATTGGTTACCAAGAAGAAAAGAAAGGAGAAGAAGAGTAAAATGAAGAAGATAAACGTGGATGACGGCAACGGTGCGCCTAGACGATGACGCCGGCGATGGTGGCCTTGAGTTGGCGACACAAGTTAAAATTGGAGAAATGAAGTGCAACACTATTTTGGTGAGAGGTGACAATGATGACAAGGGGAAAAGCGGCAACGTGGCCATGGTGGAGGGCTAGATGCGGAAGGTCGTCTATCAGAGAAGAAGACCCATCGGCATACTAGGGAGAAGAAGTCGATCGGCATTTCTGAGAGAAGATGGGTGGCACAAAGTTTTCAATTAAGGGTTTTTGGCCTTTGCAGTAAATTTTACTCCCTCTGTCCCATTGTACTTTGTCAACTTTTCTTTTTTATTGTCCCAAAAATTAACTAATTTGTGATTCTGTTTATTTATTTCTCCTCTCACAAACTCAACTACATGATTTTTATTTTACTTATTTCACACTTAATTCAAAGTATGTAAAGTCCATTGGTACAAAAGTAGGGAGTAATAGTTTTTTTACCTGAATCTAAACGGGTCTTATTTTCTTGTCAATGTAACAGTGTTATTTACTCCGTATACCATTATTCCAAAATCTTATTCCTAATTAATGGATGTGCTAATTAATATCGACCATATCGCATGCTACGCATAGCTTTAATTTAAAATTCAAAAAGTTAACAGTAAAAGCTTCGAAACAAAAGCTTTAAATCCGATCCAACGGTAAAACTCACGAGGAAAGCCCTTTCACATTGCCCCGTAGAGGCGCAGAATAATCCTATATTACTAAAAAAAAGGATGACACCCCATCCCTGAGAGCCCCCAACACCGACCGGACAGCACGATGGGAGGATGTAAGTTGGACTATAATCACAACCTGACAGATAGAGAGTGGGGCTCCGTCCCCGATACTTGCAGAGGCCCTATGCATTTTTCAGCATAGTAACCCCTTATCGCAGTTGCCGGGATTCGAACCCGAGACCTAACCCTTGTGGCACTCTCTCACTACCAGTTGAGAGATGGAAGTCAACCAAGTCAAATCAATATAAATATAAGAGGTCTAAGCTGCAATTTGCTCTGTTCATTTCTTCTCCTTCCCTTTTGTTTCCTGTTTTTCTGGACTGTCCTTTCTGATTCCTCTTCCCTCTCTGACAGTAAAATCGTAACTTGTCAGTACAAATGGAAGTGATTATGCCATCGCCGGGGGAATTTAATTTCATCAGTGCACCTTCTAGTCCTAAGGGTTTTGGGACTTTCTTTTACAGCGCCGCCGAAGTTGGAGCCGGCGGTAGAGCTCCGTTCGATTGGGAAGAGGAGGCCGGTGTTCGGAATCCCAAAGACGATTGCAGCGATGATTTTGCTTTTGATTTTAGCGGGCAGTTGGAGATGACCCACATCTCTGCCGCCGATGAACTCTTCGACGGCGGAAAGATCAAGCCTTTGAAACCGCCGCCGGGGGTTCTGTACGACGGGAAGGAGAAAGGGTCCCCAAAATCTCCGCGATCGCCGAAGCGGAGGGTAAAGGACGCGTTTTCTCCCCGTCACCGGAGGAAAGATCCCGAGCCTTTCTCCGCCGCTCTGGAACAGAGCAGGAAAGATAACGACGGCGACGACCCATCAATCCAACGGCGAGGAAGAGAAAGACAGGGTAATCCGACAGCCGCCGGTTGGAAATCTCGGCGAAAAAAGACAAGATCTTTGTCCCCATTTCGCGCAACGAATTTGTTAATCGACAGAGATGAAACAAATGAAAGGGACAACAACAACCCCTGTTCACCGTCGCCGTCGTCGATTGCGACGTGGTACAGAAAATGGAAGCTGAAGGATCTTTTACTGTTCCGGAGCGCGTCGGAGGGGCGGGCGAGCAGCAAAGAGATGAACATGATGGTGGCGGCCAGATACGCAATGCTAAAGAAGAGCCATCAGGAAGATGTGAAGAACTCGAGTTTCCGGTCGACGGAGAGCGTGGGGTCGTCGTCGTCGCGGCGGAGGGGGGCGGTGTCGGCTCATGAGCTGCACTACACGATGAACCGGGCGGCGTCGGAGGAGATGAAAAGGAAGACATACTTGCCGTACAAGCAAGGACTCTTGGGATGCTTGGGCTTCCACCCGGCGGCGGCGGTGTCTGATTTTTCTAGGGGTCTTGCTTCCATGTCCATGCCACGAAGTCGTTAGCAATCATCTTTCAGAATTTTCAGAATTTATTTATTTTAATTTGTACTCCTAAGTGAAATTACAATATTTTTAAAATTACAATATTTTTAGAATTACAATATTTTTAGAATTTTCAGAATTACAATATTTTTAGAATTTTCAGAATATTACTTGTAAAGTTTTCCTTATGATTATGATTATTAGGTAGTAAAGTTCATCCATGAATTTTGTAATGTTCTTCCATCCGGCCAAATCCGTTTGAGGGTGTTTCGAGTCATTTTTTGATGAATTCTTTTGAACATTTTCATTATAAAGTATATATTATATCCGCCAAAATATAAAAAATGTCTGTAGTAGTATAAAAGAGCGCAACTTTTTTCAATAATATATTTAACAGACTTTCTGATTGAAATTGAAGTTGAAATTTGGTAGATATACGAAGTATATATTTCATGAATAACGTGTTAAACAAATTTATCAAAACAATGGACTTGAAAGACCCTCAAACAAGCTTGATTAAACTGTGGTCCCAATCAGTTCGGCCTGACAAGAACAACACTTTATATGTAGTATATACAATATATATGCGTAATACATACCAATACAACATTTTCATTGCAATTACATTATATTGTACTCCCCTTGTCCCAAAATTATCCTAGAGGGAGGGTACATTTGGCATGAGGATTAAGATATTGGGTATTGTGTGGTAGAGAATGGTGCAAATGAGAGAGATATTTGTAAGAATGTGTAAAAATATGTCGTGAACCACAAATTCTTTGCCAAAAATTGAATTGCACTCCAAGAAAAGTGCACATAGACTGCACATGGACCACATTCTTTATTTTGCGATGGCAGCATAACTGTCGTTAAAAACACCATTAACCACACATTTTTTTATTTACCACACACAAAAATGTGGTAAAAGCTTAGAGACGAAAGTTTTTAACCGTGACCAATGTTTTTACCACAGCTGTTGTGCCGAAGCACCTAAAACTGTCATAAAAACATAAGAAGGAACATTTACGACAGTTTTGCGTCAATTTTACGTGCGTCGCCACAACAGCCGTGGTAAAAATATTGGTCACGGTTAAAAATTGTCGTCTCTGACCTTTTACCACACTTTTGTATGTGGTAAATAAAAAAATGTGTGGTTAATAGTGTTTTTAACGACAGTTATGCGACCACCGCAAAAAAATATTGGTCTATGTGCGGTCTATGTGTGTTTTGCTTGTAGTATTAAAAGATTATTTTGGGACGGACGAAAAAAGAAAACTTAAAAGATAATTCGGGGACGGAGGGAATATCATTTTACATAGAAGTTCAAACTACCTTACTATATACGTGATCGGTGTACACGGACTGACGGACCACCCGCGTAAATTATTTTTGTCACGGAAAAATTTGTCAATTAATTTGCAATATAATGATGAAAAATTATTGTATGTCATATATATAGACAATTTTCTCTTTCTGATTTTGTATGCACGTCCGAGAAGTAATTTGACTCAAGAACTGAGTCTGCTAGTGACACAAACAATTGAACATTATACAAGTCTAGAAACAGTTCTTTAATTTTCATAAAAGTTTGTAGTGTTTTATTCCTTGAAGAGTTATGAATGAATATAAATTTTATAGTCATTACCGAATAAGTACAACCACCACCTAACCACGGTTGTACAAAACATTGTGCAAACAACATGCCCAATATAAAACTCAAAAAGTACATCTAATTAATAATGGGGAATCTAAAGTAGGTTTATGTTAGGCTAAAGTGTAAGACAAATTAATATTTCTTGAGTTTTTAGTGTAACTTTGCGTTATTCCCTTAGCTCGCCTTACTATTGTAGATTTGTAGGACTTGGGAGTTGGGAGCATGTATAAGGGCTCTTCTAACACGAGGGTGTTCCAACTAAATTCCTAAATCTGCTCCTCCTGTTTATTACAGTTATAAAGACAAAATAGAAATATTCTGCTCCTCCGTGGTATATACCGTAGGGAATGTGCTTCTTAAATTCATTTTCCAATCCTTTTGTGGTTTAAATATAGCGAGTAGTAACACCCACATGAAGGGAATTAACGTCAGCGAAAGGCAATAACGTAACGTAGGTCAGAAGAGAAATAATGTCGACACAAAGTCTAGTGATTCCGATGAAAATTAGAGTAATTTAATGCCGATGGCAATAACACAATAATGAAATATGGTGTATATTTAATTTAATGAAATTAATCAGTGCAAAATGCACATTTTTTATGAGGTTATTTCCGTCCATCAATCCTCTTTAATATGGCTAGAGTTTTTTCGTGTTTTTCAATCATGTTAATGACTAAAAACAAATGGAATCATATTTAGAGAAATTGACTATGCTTTAGTTATATTGGAGAATTTCCCCTACTTCAACCCGTAAAGATCAATACTCCCATGACAATATTTAATCACGTTTCTTGCTTAATGACTACAAATCAAGTGGGGCATCACACAAGTTTGAGATATTCTAAGTAATGAACGACCTAGTAGCTTAGATTAAATAATAGTGAGTACTAATGAAAGTTTATTAACACGCTTAATTAAAGTTAAACAGCGAGTGTTTAATTAAAGTGAAACAAAGTTACAAAGTTATGGCAACAACATAATACGTACTTTTCTCAAAAATCAAATTTGGTGCACCAATTTTCATGCTGACGGAAAGTGAACCAATTACCGTGAGGCTTAGTGCATGAGAATCATGTTTGTTAAAAGTTACAAGTGGTAGTGAAACATCATGATTAACTGTGCAATACTAGGAAAATGGCTTTCCATATAGTTCTAATTGCCATAATAAGTTCCCTGGAGTATCATATACGGAGTCATATATTATATGCTCAATATCTACCAAATGAATTTTTATAAATTTCAAATCTGATCGAGATTATATGATCAACTACATGTCTATTGGTTTCTCGAAAACCAATCTTTTTTAAATTTGTTCATCAATTGAAGCTGATAATTTCTGGATTTTTATTGGACAAATCAAGTACACACAATTTTGAGCATATGATCAAGCGTAAGTACATTGAATTAGAAATTTGCGTGTCCTATACTTATTTGTCCTGATTTATATATTTAAGCTATGTGAGACTGTTCAGGGGTGGATAGTGGATTTCATGTTGGGCTAAGTGGGAGCATTTAAATGATAATATAATGGAAAATTTCCAAATAAGCAAAAAACAAATACAAGAGTTTTGGCTAAATTTGTCTTGACAAGAGTTTGAAACATAAAATTAATCAAGAGACTACATTTAAGGTGAGACGCCATAACGGAATCTCTTAAACGCAAACACATTTTTTCTCTCTTTTGTTTGCGCGTGAAAAATTCTTTCGATATATTGAGAATTTGGATATATTGAGAATGTTTCATTAAATCTTCAGCCATTCTCAAGTGTGGTGATGAACCAACATTAGTAAAAAAGGACAATTATATTATCTCCTTGATTTGCTCACTTCCAATTTTCAAAACCAGGCAATGCCAATATAAGTGTTGTATGCACATCATTCATCACAAAGAATATGTCTTGTGTTTTGAGGATGAATATTCCGACCATTAAATTGCATTGGTTAGACCATTTTTTTCGTAAAATTGTGATGTTGATTCCCAAATTTGAGATCGATCATATTGATTATTTTCATATTTTAGATTATCTAATTGAGATCTTATACTTAAGATTGAAAAGCTAAAGTAATTGAAACTCATTGAAGTCCTCTGAAGTTCAAAGACTTAATAGTTAAATGATCAAATAATGTTCTAAGATATATAGAAGGTGTTAACACTTTACAAAAGTACGTAGTAAAAGAAAAATTGTCATTCCTTGAGGAATAGTTTGCAATAATGTACTCTTTGAAGAACCAATACTCACGACAATGTTGTTCCTGAACACATCCTAGCCACAACATACGTATTTTATATTTTAAACTCTTTAATGTCAAATTTTGTACTGAAATATGTATTGACACTTATGGTACGGTTACACTTTCTAAAATTTTATATATTGACACTTTTTATAAGGTGAATTCATTTTTTCTTTGAAATGCATCATAATTGCTCTATTATCATCATGCCTTCCCATTGCGGTCCATATATGTGACTTTGAGGCCTTATTGTTGGGTCAATATATATCTCACTTGGATGATTCGTTTTTGTATGCTCTTGGTTGAATCTATTGCAGTGCAGTCATAACTTTAATTAAAAAGTGCAACATATATACATTTATTTATACTACCTTGATTCTGAATCCCCCCATTTGAATTAGTATATTTATTAATTAAGTAGAAATACATGATTGTAGCTGATGTTGAAAAAAAGTAGAAAAATGTTAACTATAGAGACCATTCATTAAGAGGAAATGTGAAGTGAAAAAAAAATATGGGATCGACCAAGTATCAGAGTATCTTAGGTACCAATTGATACCTTTGATTTTAATACATTCTCCGTTTCAATTGATGGTTCCACATTTTCACTTTGAGGTGTCCCAAATTGATAGTGTTATTTTCTTTTTTGACAAACTTTTATACGGAGTATAAGATAACAGTTTTAACCTTACATTTATGAGTAATTATTCTAACATTTTAAAACTTTCAGACACGGGTAATTGAGTAAGCGTATACACTTCCTTAACTTTTTTGTGTTCAAAAAGTATGAAACTGTTAATTTGAAATTTGAACTCTTAAATGTCCAATTTAATGGGACACGTTAATTCTTTTACACTAAAATTGGATCTTATTATAATTTTCAAGGGATCCTATTCAATGAGCAAAATGATAGGCATTACTCTGTGTTTTATGGAGGGACATTTTGGAATTTAATGCCTGCCATTTTTCAAAAGTAATGGGACCTGGGACATAAGTATATATTTACAAGAGAAATAATCGAGGAATTTGCATATGTTTGAACTCAAAATCATTGTCTTTTTATATTTAACAACATGCTCAACAATTGATAATAATGTCTTGATCGCCATGGTCAGCTCGTTGCGATTGGGTTCCTAGTATTTGGGCTGGGTGGGATTGAGTATCAATCGTGCTATGTGAGAAACATTTAAACAATCCAATCCTTTGAAAGATAGCCAATCTTTTTTTGGTCAAATCACTTGCAAGAAAGTTTGGAACATAGCCAATCCAATCTTTAAAACATGTTTTGTTACATTTTTTAAGTGATTTTATTTGTCCTACTTTTCATTTTGAGTTGTCCCAAAATGCAATGAAAATTGTAGAAAAAGTATTGTGTATAGAAAAACGGAAAAGAA